GTGCTTACATGTATAAAGCCCTTAAAAATCAATTACACAACATTATAAAATAACATAAAATTGAAATAAAAGTGAATAGGGAAAGGGGCTTTAAACGTGCGGCATATTGTTTCAATTTGGGGAAAACTGAATTTGGGGTTATAGGTGGAAATCAATTCGCAGAATTGGTGATTTTTGGGGGTTTTCATAATATTCAAATAATCAATGCTTTCTCTGGCTTCGTCTTAGTTCACTGATGATTGGCATGATGCTGAGTAATGGAGGTTTAGCAGTTGACTTGGTGCTGTGTTTGTTATGTAATCTGCAACATTTTCGTAATGGTTTTGATGTATCTCTGAAACACATCAATCTCTATTTCTTTTTCGTAATGGTTTTGATGTGTCTCTACAACATTTTCGTAATACTATTTATAAACAAAAAAAAGCGGGGAAAACATAAAAGAGGATCCCAACATATAAATGTAAAGTGTATAGCCTCTCGGTTATACTATTTACTTATAAAAAAAAAGAGCTGAGTAACGCCACGCGGCTATACTATTTCTTTTCTTTTCTTTTCTTTTTTAAAAAGGGAAAAATCACGTCTAGCCGAGCGGCTATCCTAATTTTTTTTTAAACAATTGGAAAAAACCACGTATGGCCGAGCGGCTATACTATTTCATTTTAAAAATTGAAATAACCCAGTCTAGCCGGGCGGCTATACTATTTCTTTTCAAAAAACTAAAAAAGTCGCGTATAGTCGTGCGGCTATACTATTTCTTTTATAAAAAATAAAAAAAAGGGGAGTATAGCCGCTCTTTTAAAAAATTAAAAAAACGACGTATCGCTGTGCGGCTCTACTATTTTTAAAAAAAATTGGAAAAAGCGTTTATAGCCGCGCGGCTATACCATTTCTTTTTTAAAAAATTAAAAAAAGTGTATAGCCGCGCGGCTATACGAATTCTTTTTAAAAAAATTTAAAACCTAATATAGCCGCCCGGCGATACTATTTCTTTTATGAAATATAAAAGGGGTATAGCCGTTCGGCTACACTATTTCTGTTATAAAAAGTGAAAAAACCGAGTATATTCGCGCGATGGTACTATTTCTTTTTTAAAAATATTTGAAAAAATCGAGTACCGCTCGGCTATACTATTTCTTTTGAAAAAAATTAAGAAAAGGGAACAAAATACACAAATTGAAGTTCTGTGTAACATCTCAAACTAGAAAGCCAATAGGAAAACAGAGTACAGTTACTAGCAGAGGGCCAAAACCAGCAATGATAAACATCACTTTAATCATGCTGCATTGCTCCAAGCCTTAATGTAATTAACCAGGGCAAGGAAACGTCAACTGCACCTGCAATCTGAAAAAAAGAACTAGCAAAGTGGAAACAAAAAACCTATTGCAATAGCAAAAATAAAATCCAAAACTACTGCAATCTAAAAAATTTCTGCTTTAATAAACGCTGCATATACAACACAGAATAATTTAAACTCACAGTGCTCCTCCATATAAAATAAGTAGAAACATTCGGCCAAAATGAATAAATAAAGAAGAAACAATTAAGTCACCCAGAAAATACAACAGCGCTGTTGAGCATACATGATATACCAAATCCAAACTTTATTAAACAGAAGTTTAGTACCTTAGTTCTTCCTACATACTAGGCTAGCTGCTAGTTCCTCCACCATGGGCTGGTTGATTTTGAGCATGCTGTGGTAGTCTAGGAACTGGTGTCGGCCACCATGGGAGCACAAATTGGTAGAAGTAACTATTGACATTAATATCACTCTCAAATGAAGCTACTTTGGACCACCTTCTTGTAATAATGTTGCACACCACGATTAAAACTTACTCCGGAAAATACAACTGAATCTCTCCATTCACCAGTCACAAAAGAGAAGATCTCCATGTGGAATTTGAATAATTTGACACAACTATCATATCCGTCATCATCTGAAACTGAAAAAAGATCAGGAAGGAGAATTCTGACAACCCTGCAGCTATAATCAGCATTGACCTGGACGCTATATCCTTTTCTGAGGTAGTCCTCATCGTCATCCTTGTAGTTATAATAGGGAACATCGCGGATCAGTCCCACGAGTACTTTCTGTTGGCATCGAGGAGGGGGAGGAAGAGCAACCCATTGAGTGGTGTATGGATTGCAGAGATGTAGTAATGGCGTTGATACCAGTGGCCTGCACAGCACAAAATTAAATCGTTATACGCCCCTACCACAACTGGCTCTTCTTTCAAACCATGGAACCTTATGATCTTTTTGAACTCCGGAGTTAGCAGCTTCCCGGAAGACGATATTCCGGGAAAGAGAATATCTATATAACTCTATGATGAAAGTGTAACAAACTCCATTAAATAGTTAAAACGGGTTGGATCAGAGTTTTATTGGCAGCAGAAAATAAAACAAAATCTTTTCAAAATGAAAATTTACATTACCTCAAGCTCGAGGTTACAAGTTTGTTGTAGAGTAAACTCACATTAGTTTACAAGAAAAAGAGATTCTGAAACCGCAAGTAATAGCATAAATACAAAACTAAGATGGAGATTGTTGTGATTGGCTCGCCATTTAACGTGAAGTGTTGGAAGCAAGAAAACAAGACTATAGTAGGGGTCCAGTTGGTCTCCGTGTTTTGGGTGACCAACAGCTTCTTATGGATTGTGCACGCAACATAAACCAAAGAAATCATGATATAATGGCATGCAGCCTCAATATCAAGTCAATTTTATCAAGCTACATAATTAGTGGATGAAATCAATTGACCTAAAGAGAAAATATGCATAATGTTGCTGCTCTTTTTGGGAGGTCAACTTAGGAAAGGAGTGTGGTATCTTCAGCAGTGAAAGAAGGCTAGGACCTTCGGTAATTGAATGACCTGCAGAAAATAAGAGGAAGAGGCAGTCATTAAGCTTCAGACACCGGTGTGGTGCCGGCCGAAGGCTCTCCGATGCTTAAGTCAGCTATTTGTGGTAACTTTGGCAGAGTAACAGTAAAAGTGAGAAATTAGTTACCCCTTTCGTCTTGGGTATTGTTCCCTATTTATAGGGAGGTGAAAATGGGAGGCTTGTACAAAGTTCCGATGTGGGACTTTGTGCAAGCTTCTTATGGATTGTGCACGCAACATAAACCAAAGAAATCATGATATAATGGCATGCAGCCTCAATATCAAGTCAATTTTATCAAGCTACATAATTAGTGGATGAAATCAATTGACCTAAAGAGAAAATATGCATAATGTTGCTCTCTTTTTGGGAGGTCAACTTAGGAAAGGAGTGTGGTATCTTCAGCAGTGAAAGAAGGCTAGGACCTTCGGTAATTGAATGACCTGCAGAAGATAAGAGGAAGAGGCAGTCATTAAGCTTCGGACACCGGTGTGGTGCTGGCCGAAGGCTCTCCGATGCTTAAGTCAGCTATTTGTGGTAACTTTGATAGAGTAATAGTAAAAGTGAGAAATTAGTTACCCCTTTCGTCTTGGGTACTGTTCCCTATTTATAGGGAGGTGAAAATGGGAGGCTTGTACAAAGTTCCGATGTGGGACTTTGTGCAAGCTGCTGTGGTGGTGACACTTGTCCTTGGAGGCTAGGCTCGGCAGTCGGGAGCTTCGGCAGGTGTTGGTCGCCTTGGAAGAGTGTCTTCCTTCGGCAGGGAAGAAGGCGTGTCTGCCTTGGTGCTAGTCGCTTTGGTGCTAGATATGCTCGGTTGATTATGGTGTAAACACATAAGATGATCTGGACTGGTCGAAGGAACTTTTCCAATCATCATGCAGGATTTTGATGAAAGCTAACTTTTTAATAGATTTAGAAAACCAACTTTTCAGTGAAAACTCAGGTTTTAGCCAAATGAAACAGTTGCCACCGATTCTATAGCACTTTCATTCTTCGTAAAACTACCAGCTAGTTGCTAGTTCCTCCACCATGGGCAAGACACGTAAATATTTAGGTGAGACATACAAGGACTTCACTATATAGAAGGTCCAAAATAACAAGCTAAGGCCATCTCCAGTCATAGGGCTAATGTAGTCCAGGGCTATAAATTTAGCCCTCCAAAATATTAATTTTTTAAAGAATAGTGTATGGCTAAATTTTTCCATCTCCAACCATGCATGACTATATTTTAGGGTCATTCATATTTTATTATTTTGAGGAAAACTATGGTACAACACTCATACATTCCACAATTATGTATTGTTTAATTTAGTTAAACTACAATTTAGATACATTATTTCATATATGACACGTATACGTTGATAACATTTAAAAAGGCTATTTAAAAAATTTAAAAAAAATCCTAACGGCTAGCTAACGTCAGCGCACCTTTAATATTGGATGTTGGATATGCATTTGCACGAGATGTTTCGTGCTCTTGCCCACACTTGATAATTTCTCTTTTTGAGAAGCACGTGCATGGGGCCCATAAAAAAATTTGGCCTAGGCCAAAGCTGGGTTACAATTGGTTTACAAGACACAGAGATTCTGAAACCACAACCTTAATAGTATCAGTACAAGGCAAACACATTTACAAGTGATATAACAACACAATTTACAAGTAATATAGCAACAAAATTTACCAGGTTTAAAGAAGTAGGGTTGCCTTCATGTGCAAGAAAGGATCTACAAGGTAGCGGTTTCAAACATTTTTTGAGCTTACTAGAACTTTCCGCATGCTAGAGATTGGGTGGACTACCTCCGCACTTGAGGTGCATTGAGGCAAATGGTCTTTTGTCAAGGTGAAGGTTTCTTGAAGATTGTGAGGATGGTCTTCAAGAGTATTAAGAGAACCTAAAGGTGCAATTGTCATGTTTGGTTGATGGCTCGCCAATATGGAGATTTTTGTGATTGGCTCGCCATTTAGCATGAAGTGCTGGAAGCAAGAAAACAAGACTCTAGTAGGGGTCCGACCAGTCTCCATGTTTTGTGCATGTTTCAGAGCAGTAACAACCAAAGAAATCATGATATCATGGCATGCAGCCTCAAAAAGCATTGAAAGTACCAAGAATCTATGGCACCTTGATGGAAACATTTGTGTAAGACGTATTGGGGAATATGGGCACAAAATTTTACAAAAGAATCGATGAGCTAGCCTAACTGAGTTTTAAGCAGATACACTATTTGTTGATTTGTGTCTTCAGAATGGAAGTACGCAAGTATGAAAGAAGAAAACAAGTCATCACGAAGAGACAGATGCAGTAGTAAGTGCAGGTAGTGATGGAGTAATAATAGCATTATCCGTCCAATTCTTTTCACCCCAGTGCCGTAACATGTTCTTCCAGGAGCAGAATTCCTCAAAGCATGTCTTCAAACGATCGTCTTTTATCTTAATTTTCCAGTGGCCATCAGTGTAATTTGCTTTCTCGGCTTGCCTCCGATCCCACTCTAGGCCTGCCTTCTGCTCTGTCCGGAGCAAGCAGAAGTTTTGCAAGTTGTGGGGCATAGCATCATGCACTTTCCACCACCTTTTATGTGCAACGTCACTAGCAAACTCCTGCATAAAATCTACATTCCAGTTGCAGTCATAGTCACGGAAGCATAGCCATGGTTTATTGCCCAGATAATGGAGGACATAGAGGATTGGAGGGTCAGCTTCGAAGAGGCGAGTTTTCATCTGCTTTATCTCCGGCTCATCACCTTCCCAGAAATGTTTCAAGAAGTTCATATGTTTTGGGATCCTGTGCCACCACGTAAATATCTCATTCAGATACCCCTGATCCCCGCCGTTATAGGATACAATTTCATTGACATGATCCATGAGCAGCTGGAAAGTACAATTTGATGGTTCCACAACCATCACACCTGAGTTGAACAAACTAGCATTATTTCCTGTAGCAGATATTTCGGGCATCTGAAACAGGAAATCAATATTTCGAAGTATAAGCATGTCCGCGTCAATGAAAATGATCTTGTCATAATCCGTCAACTGCCAAAGACGGAATTTGCTGTAGTTCCATTCATTGTACGCTTCTGGTTCAGCTTTAGGGTTCCTGATTCTTTGGATTGTGTGGATCTTCCACCCAGCAGCCTCCAATCCCCCTCGATGATACTCAGTGATTGTTTCATCTACCAGTATGATAAGATCTCGTGTTGAACCAGCCATTCGGATGCTTTGAGCTGCAGCAATGGCTCCACAAACATATACATGGGCAGAGTGTAGGATTGTCGCATATGCTTCTCTGTGGGCTCTTTGGGAGTAAACATGTTCTGTATTATAAGGTGTAATGCAGTTCAAGCTCGGTAAAATTTGAACGTAGCCACGAATTATATTTGCTTACTTGTGGGATGCATTCAAAATGTGGAATTCATTCACAATGAACTCAATTCCACATTTTGAAAATTTCCAAAACACCGATGTTTGAAAAAATAAAAGCGAAAACAGAAAGAAAGATTAATGGAAAAGAGGTAGATCAGCAGCTTTCATTGCACAAAGCAAATGACTCAAAAGAAAGTTCAAATGTTGAAAAGAAATATTTAATAAACCAACACAAGATACTAGTTTGAATCTGACCTTTAGCCTTGAGAGGAACTGCAAGTTCACATGACCCTACAGGGAGCTGTAACTTATCTCTCAACATATTCGGGTTTGGTTCATAGAGCCATGTATTCCCTTCACGTCTAACAAGATCCTTGCACGTGAATAAATTTGGGATTGGGAAACAGTCAGTCACCAAAAGCACACGCACAGGATGATATCCTTTGGAAGAGGCAGCCAGCCTTGCTGCTTCAAGCTGCAAGTGCAACCGAGCCACATCTCTTGACCAGCCGCCTGACTTGTTGCAGGGAAGCTTGACAGCAACCAGATCAAGATGCGGTTTTCCAGGAATTTGAAGCTTTGGTAGAGAGGGACAAGCAGGGACTTCGGACTCTTGTTCTTCATCTATCCATTCAGGATACAGGGATTCCCATGTTATGTTATTTGCCGCATAGTTGAGGTTTAGAACAACATGTTCACAATCTGGCAAGAGCTCCTTCCAATGGTCAATCTCATTGTGGTTAAAGTTTAATAGCCCAATTCCCAGATTATCTTTTCTGTCAGTCAGGTTTTCAATAAAACCCGAAATTTCATTCCAGTTAATGTTTAAAGATGTTACGTAACGTAGATCTGCAGCAGCACTCTTTTTCGTCCATATGTGTTGATAAGTTAGCCTGCAGGATATAAACTTGTGTTACAATTGTTGCCACGGGAAAGAGATCGAGAAAGAGCAAAGCAAAACAAAACAAAAGAACAATGCTCTTTTGCCTGTTGCTACTAAGATGACTTTTCCAGTCCAGACAAAGAGCAAAGAGAGTGCAGTGCACTGACAATATATTTTCCCAGGAGGAGAAATTGCCTCAACATCAGAAAAGAAATTAAAGGTTGAAGCAAGAAACTATCCAACAGTAACCTAATACCACGAATAAGAAGAGAAATCAAGGTGATCAGCTCATAGGACATACTGAGATACAGAAGTGGATAGATGATCTGTATTATAAACAGCTGAAGAGAGGAAGAGCGTCACAAAAGTCCCAAATACAAGAATGATCAGCACAAGCTTCAAGGTAGGCTTGCAATTTAAGATTCTATCTGTAGCATGTACGTGGAGAGCCTTTTCAATATCTTTAAGAACTTTATTTCTCTGGGACCTTCTTTTGTTAGAATCTTCACTGAAACAAAAAGGGATTCATAACAACATCAACACATGTCTGAATGGCAAGAGAAAGAAAGTACAAAGAGCAACAAAATGGAATGGGAAAAACTTATAAAGTAGTAAATAAGTGAATGCCATTGGAAACAATCTCAGAAAGACAAACAAATGTTCCGCAATCAACTCGGTCGTTGTAAATGCATTGCACATTGATATGTCTATGCGGAAACAGCACAAATTTGAAGTGTCCTAGATCCCATTAGGCAGATTACAAAGAAAAATTATAAATATCATTTGCAAACTAGTTTAGCACTATCCCAAGAATTCGATATTAAAATCTCATGCACCATGACCATCACACAGTAGCTAAATAAATTGAATGGCAGATCCTCTCCAAAATATTTCACACAGTGCAAATTGTAGTCTAATTATTGGCAAGACTCTTCACTTAATCAAAACACGTTCAAATTTTAAATACAAACTTTTCGAGACCCTCTATTCATCCATGTTCATGGACCCAATTTAATGCCAACGTAGTAAATTTTGCCACAATTTAAAAGGTCTAGTCTTGATCTGTATACATATACATATATATAATTTAGAAGGAACCCATCTAATCAAACTGGTAAATGAACACTTAAATTTTGAACCAACAGAAGCAGAGATGCATAGGAAGACTTTTCTTACATGCTTATTATTCTGATATCCAAGCAAAATGAATTCAAATTACACTAAACCAGAAAGAAAAATAACAAAAACTAAAAATTTAAAGAGAGAGAAACTGACTTGGCTGAACCAGATAGGCGGTGTCTGGGTTCAACTGGACTTGGGGAGGGCCCTCTCATCTTTGCTCATTCGGTTTGAGGCATGTGGGCAGGCACCATCTGATTCTGATATCCTGAAATTTGATATAAATAAAGAAAAAATACTGTGAATTTGAAGATAGAAAAAGGAAAACAACACTTGCAGACAGCGCATTTGAGAAGATGAAGGCGGTTGGTCAATTCAAGAATGAGGCCTGCTTACCTTCTGGGTCTTATTCTGTCTTTTGGTTGTACCTTTCTGGGTCTTTATTCAGCTCCAGTCTAAGTTTTTACGCGAAGTTTTTTCTGCATGTTTGAACAGCTTTTACGCAATCATGATGAATGACAAAGAGTAGGCACAAATACAAAGCAAACCAGTTTTTTGCAGCAAAATTCAAAAAACAGAAGAAATTGTTCTTTTGATCTTTCACGCAGCCTCGCCATTCTTCTGTTTGACCAAAATGAAGGCTTTGTCATTGTCGTTGTTTCACCTGCCTTCAAGCATTTATAACAGTACTTTTGAAGCCACGTAAGTTGGGATGTTTTGTCACTATCAAAAAACTTTTTATTTTTCATAATCATGTTTTCTGTCACCATCTATTTTTAGTTTTACATTCCTTTGTTATTGGATAATGCTTCTCTCCTAATTTGATTTTTTTATCCCATAAATAAGGAGGAACCCCTCATTAAAACTGATATGCGACCCTTCTTTTGTATACCTAATTCTCAAAATAAAATAAAAAATATTATTCTTAAATGAATTCCTTTAATTTTTCTACCTCAGTCAAAATTTTAAGTCATTTGGTGACCCTTTCCAACTCCAACTCCAACAACCCCACTTCAACCAAAGTTGCCACTGACAACGAAATGAAAATACATTTACCAGTTCCAAAACAGTAAATTAGAATAATCTCATTGACCACAAATGACAATCATTAAAAGAAAAATGGCTTCTTAGATTTAAGTTCAAAACGATTAACTGTTATTAGGTTTAGTCCACGCGTTTTTGTTTTAGATGTACATCGTTTGACATTTATTACTTTTTTTTTTTGGTCGATTTTATCCTTTGAGGTAAATAAGAGAAACACATTGAAAGTCTAAATTTAATGCATTATTTCCTTCATAATATTTACCTAATATATTAATAAAATACAATTTAATCAATGAAAAGTAAAGACCCATATATTATACCAATCGATTAGATAAGCACCCACATGAAATTATGTACATGAAATACAGGTAAATAGTGTTATTATTAGCAATGAAAAAAACTTAGTGATACCAATAAGTTAAGAACATAAATTAGAAGACTACTTATAAGTCAGATACAAAAATAGACAAATAAAACTGTATGTTACCTATAAAAAGAAAAAAAAACACACACACACAATAAGATGAGCAAATATAAAATTCTTTATTTTATTGTATCTCCAAAATAATAAATTGTCCTAAAAGTATGGGATTTACAAACCTATGTATATCCCTATATTAAAATCATAATAAAATCTCGTAATTATTGTCCTATAAATTAATTTCTACACGATTTATACTTTAGTGGTATAACAAGAACAACTAGATAATTAAAAAAATAATAATAATAATATATCTACAATATCTCCAAAATAATAAATTGTCCTAAAAGTATGGGATTTACAAACCTATGTATATCCCTATATTAAAATCATAATAAAATCTTGTAATTATTGTCCTATAAATTAATTTCTACACGATTTATACTTTAGTGGTATAACAAGAACAACTAGATAATTTTTAAAAAATAATAATAATATATCTACAATTTTTTTTGAGAAAGAGAATTCATTCATATAACCAAATACGTACAAAGAACGACATGATACAATGGCCTCGTTAAAACTTTCCTAGGACAACCTCATGGGACAAACTCCAAGGGAGGAAAAAGTACCACACATGTCATGGACTAACATGAGAGTCTGATTCAGGTCACTTTGGACCAATACAATAAAAGAACAAATCAAAAACGCAACTATAGACCAACACAGTAGACCCACATGAGAGGACCACAAAACATCCCAACTGTCAAAAGAAGTCTTCTATGAGCAAAATCATAGTCCTTTGACACCCACACACACTGCAAGGCATACCATAACAGAAACCAGGAGAGAACACATAGGAGAAACACATAAACAAAAGGCAAAAGAACCATTAAGAAGCACTCTACTTCAACTCAGAATCGGACAAAGAAAACCTCCTATGACCAAGCATAGTTCTTTGGTCGGCGCAGAGTGGAGAAGAACACCACATCCCAACAACTAGCGTCGCTTCTGCTGCTGTCGACGCCATTGAAACAGAGATAAAACATCAGCCACCAGGTATCACAACTCTCTTGAGGAGGGACAAAATCCAACGTCACCACATAAACAACAATAAAAGGACCCCCAAGAAGCACTCCACTTTAACTCAAAACCAGGCAAATAAAACCTCATATGACCAAGCATAGTTCTTTAGTCAGCGCAGAGTAGAGAAGAGCACCACATCCCAACAACTACCACCAACGTCGCTGCTTCTGCTGCCTTTGAAACATAGACAAAACATCAGCCACTATGTATCACAACTCTCTTGAGGAGAGACACAATCCAGTGTCACTACTGTCACCGCCGTTGAGACAAAAACAACACCAACCACCTAGAACACTGCAAAAACAATCAAACAAAACAAACAGACAAATAGATCTAGATTATTGGGGGAGGGGAAATGGAGGAGAAGAGGGGATAAGAGGAAGGGAAAAGATTGGAGAAAAATATGGGGAGATGAGGAGAGGAAGGGGAAGATGGGCGGAGGGGAGGAGGGGCAGTGGCCACCTCCCCCCTTAGCTTCCTTGCGGTTGGTTGTTGGCAAGGAGAAAGGGGGCTAGAGTGCGGCTAGGGTTTTTTTTTTTTTTTCCTAAGACAAATGTTGTTCACAAAAAAAAAGAATGTAATCCTTTTAGGCGCAAAAGTCAAAGGACTTGTATCAATAACAACAAATGCGAGGATTAAACCCAACTTATGTTCTAAATTTTAGACTTATCCCAAATTTTCTATAAAAAATATATATATATATTCCTTCATCAATAATTTTTCTATGCAGAACAAAATGTGCAATAAGTATGCAATTTAGAGAATTAATATTTAAAAAAAAAGGACACATCAATTTGTGGTTCAGTCGCATCACTAGGCAATGAGGACTTCCTCCTTTTTTTTTTCCTCATTACTAGAGTTAGTTGATAAAAATAATAGCTGGTTAAAGTGGGGTTTTCAAAGGTAGGGTTTTTTTTTTTTTTTTTCCTAAGACAAATGTTGTTCACAAAAAAAAAGAATGTAATCCTTTTAGGCGCAAAAGTCAAAGGACTTGTATCAATAACAACAAATGCGAGGATTAAACCCAACTTATGTTCTAAATTTTAGACTTATCCCAAATTTTCTATAAAAAATATATATATATATTCCTTCATCAATAATTTTTCTATGCAGAACAAAATGTGCAATAAGTATGCAATTTAGAGAATTAATATTTAAAAAAAAAGGACACATCAATTTGTGGTTCAGTCGCATCACTAGGCAATGAGGACTTCCTCCTTTTTTTTTTCCTCATTACTAGAGTTAGTTGATAAAAATAATAGCTGGTTAAAGTGGGGTTTTCAAAGGAATTAAAGAAAAACAGAGGTGATAATGGTGTGATAGGCACTTAGCACTCAATTATAGTTAATAACAAACAGTGGTTATCACTTTAACCTCACTATTTTCACTCATTTATGTTAATAAGCTTTATTTGGTGTAGGGTTTATGTTAATTAATGACATCTTAACCAAAACCAAACAACCTTGATTTAAAAAAATTAAAAACCAAACCAAACCACCAAGCATTGTCTGTTTATTTGACCACGAAAAAAAAAACATCACTGTCAAGCAGTGGGGTTGTATTAGTTTATTCTTTTACTTGCGCAGCGTAGTTGGTGGTAGATGATTGTGGTCAAGAAAGTTAAGAAATGTGCTTACTTTTCTATGATTTGAAGAATAATAATGGCAAACTTTTCTATCGTCCACAACTCCCTTCAAACAGAGAAATTTTTGGTAGGTTGGACACTCGTTATATGGAGAAATTCTCAGATTAAAGTTTGGGGCGGCCAAAAAATATATTTGTGAACAAAACCCAAAAAGAATCTATAAATTACTTAAAGAATATCATATTATAGATTAATTCATCAGTTACCACTACATAATTTCACAAGTTAAATCGCCTATTTCCTAGTCCACCAGATCAAGACAACGGCAGTGCATAAATTCCTGTAAATTTAGCAGACCATGACAATGGTTGGCAAAACTGGTATCGAAATCCCGGAACAGTAATAAGAACTGGAAAAAAGAAACCAAATCAATCTGGAAATTTAGAACAAGACACTAGCCAACATAAGAAAGGCCAAGGCCACTTTAAAGATGACTAGAAATTACAATATCACTTCATACAGCCTCAAAAAGCATTGAAAGTGCACAAATCTAGCCCACCTTGATGGGGAAATGGGTATAAGATGTATTACGGAAAAATGAGTATAAAATGTATTACTAGGAAGTTGTTGAGCTAGATACTAAGTGAAGTTTAAGGAGATACACTTTTCTTTCTCACATTTGTAGGCATGAACTATGTGTTGACTTGTGTCCTCGGAATGCAGTATGCAAGTAAAAGAAGAAAACAAGTCACGAAGAAGATACCGATGAGGTAGTAAGCGCAGGAGGTGATGGAGTAACAGTAGCATTATCTGTCCAATTCTTTTCACCCCAGTGCCATAACATGCTCTCCCAGAAGCAGAAATCCTCAAAGCATGTCTTCAATCGCTTGTCTTTTATCTTAATTTTCCAGTGACCATCAGTGTAATTTGCTTTCTCAGCTTGCCTCCGATCCCATTCTAGTGCTGCCTTCTGCTTGGACCGAAGCAAACAGAACTTTTGCAAGTTCTCTGGCATAGCATCATGCACTTTCCACCACCTTTTATGTGCAACATCACTGGCAAACTCTTGCAAAAAGTCCACATTCCAATTGCAGTCATAATCACGGAAGCAAAGCCATGGTTTATTACCCAGGTAATGGAGGACATAGAGGATTGGAGGGTCAGCTTTGAAGAGGCGAGTTTTCATCTGCTTTATCTCTGGTTCATCACCTTCCCAGAAATGTTTCAAGAAGTTCATATGCTTTGGGATCCTGTGCCACCATGTAAATATCTCATTGAGATATCCCTGATCCCCGCCGTTGTAAGATACAATTTCATTGACATGATCCATGAGAAGCTGGAATGTACAATTTGATGGTTCCACAACCATCACACCCGAGTTGAACAGAGTAGCATTATTTCCTGTAGCTGATATTTCTGGCATCTCAAACAGGAAGTCAATATTCCTAAGAATAAGCATGTCAGCATC